AATACTTCCAACATGTACCACAATCCTCAAAGGTGGCACCTGGATTTGGTTGATTTTAGAGTCTACTAATAATATTAGTGACTCTAAAATCAATAATATTATATCTTTACATATTATAATTAGGCCGATGTCAAAAATAAAAATATTTTTTTTGTCCTCTGCGAATTGTGGTTTTTCTCCTACAGGGGCGCCTTGACGTACTCGTTTTAAGATTTGTAGGAGTATTTTGGTGTTAATCACACCAATGTTAATCTACTAAGTTCAAAGACTTGTTTCTAGTGAGGTGGTGAACTGGGTAGTATCTATTCTGAAAGTTTTACTGCGTTCTTTAACATGCACATCAGCCACACGGGTCTAACAGCTTAAACGTCTAATCCCGAACACGGTACGCTATCGTAACATGTATCCCTATTTCAGCCCTTTAAATGAAACACAAGAACAGTGGTTGGAATTGATACGGCAATAAAATGTTCTCTCTCAGACATTCACACACACACACACACACACACACACAATCACACTCCACCCCCACCAACACACGCCGACAAAAGCATCCAATCAGTATTAGAATTTCGTGTAAGACTGGTGTAACTATAGCCTAAAAACAATAGAAAACAACAGTGGTCCTACACGTCATTCTTTTCTCTTTTTCTTTAAAGTCAGCGTAAAACCTGTAAAGTGTGTTACACTGGCATTTGGTGATTCTTTCATAGTAAAAAGTGTGACGATTACAAGAAACAATGCAACACGCATAACTGAGGCACTTGAGGAAAACCTAGGACCGTCGACAAATCGACCTGTACTCAACTCAGGGACAGCAGTCAATGTATCGCTGTCATTTGTGTTAACCCAAATTATTGAGCTGGTAAGTTTGTACCGTCAAAGATTATAACTAAGTAATAACTAGCCCCTGTCTCTTATACACATCTAGATGTGTATAAGAGACAGATATATATATATGCATATATAAAACATGTAGGAACATAAGATGCTATTATCGTATAAGCCCTTCAACAAAGGGTTCTTTTTCAATTAAATAAACCAGTTTTATAATAATTTCAGAATGATATGCTACAAGAACTAAAAGTCGCTGGTTGGTTTAAAATGGTAAGATATCTCAGGCCATATTTTCTTTCATATCAATGGTAAGACGACGAATGCCGATATTTTATCATCGATCAACTTACTTTTTATATAATGGATCTTTCCGCTAAACTCCGCCACTGGATACTGTTGCTAAGGTTCCACAAAGCGTAAATGTACACGTGTGTTTGTTGGACACTCGCGTACACTGTTCTGATTGGTCATTTTTAAAGTTTGATTGACACTCTGAAAAGGTCCATTGTTGTGACATATTGATCCTAATTTGCATAGTGACGATAAAGACCATATCTTTCATTTCATACTTTCTGACATTTTGATGATTTTCTCATAATTCTGTCTTCTTTCAAAATATTAAAAACTAAATATATAATTCTAATAATAAAAGTAGGAGCCGTATTATTCTATAGCATAAAATACAAACAAAATGAATACAGTAACACCTTCTGTAGACTAACAAAAAATTAATGAAACACAAGCTTTCGCTAGCTTGAGCTAGCTTCATCAGTTGAATGAAGTGAAAAGCACATAGTCAAACTGAATAAACTCTAATTGTATGCAAATGAGCAATATAAAAGTATAATAGAATATCAGGCTCGAAAAGACCAGGGATAAACAAAGCATCATGGATGAAAGGTCAATGAATTATAAACAAATAACAAGTGCACAGTAAACACAGCAAATGGCAACAAATCGGGGTAGATAAAAAAAAATAGCGAAACAGAAAAAATAGCATAAAAATCAACAGAATATAATTCTAGTTTCTCGCTCTACATTATTATTAGCTGGCATTCAGATTATTTACTCATTTATTTATTTCTTATTCAGTCACAAATACACAAAATTTACAAAACAATTGAATCAAAAAGACAGTAATACAGCTAAGTTGGCTGGAAATAATAACAGAATTAAAAACTATACCTTAATTTAAGTTCAATTAAATTTAAATAAACTCTGATAAAGTTAAAAAAAAAATTCTTTCCAATTGTGAAAAAGCTATCATGAGTATCACGTTGGAATATACTAACTGACCGCATTTTTAAAATTTGAATGTTAATAAATAGAAAATACTTTCAAAGTGTTATATGACTTGAATATGACTAATCTTTATAATTCTTTATCATTTCTACATATTGAAGGGTTGGCAAGACAAACGAATTAGCTGGAATGCGTCTGAATATAATGTCAGTTGTGTACATATCAACAAAGATAAGATTTGGATACCTGATATAACTCTGGACAACAAGTGAGTGCTTCTGATCTAAAAGCCATTTTAAGTCAGTAGTGACGTCATCACTTTCATTTGCGCTGAATTTGCCTATCATCGATTTATCAATAATTCGATATAGTGCCTCTGATATTTTGCTTTTCCTGTGCAAAATGGTAAACGCTGAGGCGATTTAACTACAGTGCATTGCGATGGAATATTTTGTTGGCAGGCCAAGCTCATCGAGGCTAAGCACACATGACGAAGTGCGCAGAACTGATCGGTTTCATTGACGATTCGTCAGCAGAATGCCCGGCCTTAATAGTGATAGGTCATAATTATCAATACAGTACTAATAAGTTTACATCATTATCTGCAATGTTACTATAGGATAGAAAGCATCAACATCGTCATACCTTGTCTACTCTACTCAGTAATGCTGCCCTAATTTTATTTATAAACTTTCTATTCTCTATGCCATTTTATCACTCGTCACTCGATTCCTTTTTAATAATACAACTAATAAATACCACCGACAAAGAGCTAACTACCACGGGAAAGACAAAAAACAAAACAAAAAAAAACAAAAAAAAAACAACAAAAAAACACACAAACACACTAATAGTATAAAACCAGGAACACAGTGAGAAATATATGCACAATCCAAAAGCTAAAAAAAAGGAAAACAGTAAAAAAGAAAACAAGCAAAGGCAACAGAAGGATCCCATAAATCCAACCACCGGAACACCAGAAATAAAAACCAAAAAGCAAGCAAACAAATAAACAAAAGAGCAAAAAATATAACAAAACGGCAACGTTGCAGTAGCAGGTGAATCAACCATGGAGGAATTCCTCCAGAAACCAAAAAGAAAAGGCTGGCAAAACTTTGTTATACAAGATTTCATCATAATGTTTCTTCCTTAGTTGTAGAAAAATGATAAAATACACATAAAATAGCTACAATAATTAAAAGCGTTTGCACTTCCACAGAACATAAAAATACAGTTGAAAACTTTAACGTTGAAAAATTACAGAAATCACAAGAAAAACGGAAATCATGGCAAATTCTCAAAATTCAGGCGTTAAAATTAAAAATTTGCAGTACATTTGTTTTATAATGAATAAAAAGTGTAGCCGCGTTTGTCTGTTAAAGAAAAATATGAAATATTATTATTATTATTATTGTCAGTGTATGAGGTCATGATTTTCCATAACTCTACAACAAAACAAATAAAATAAAAAGACATGACGGTACTTAAACTGTTAGAGCACCGCAACTCACTAAAATCATTCATTGCGTCAAACGGATGAAGTTAATGAATAGGCCTAAGTTGTGATGTAAATAAGCCAAAAAATGCTCTAATGTATGTTATACCAATATTTATATACATGAATAGGTAGATAAATGAGCAGGTATCAATTATGTGACCTATGGTATTTATTTAAAGAGTTTTTGCCTTAATTTTTGAGACTTCATTTGGTGTAGGACTTTCAAGTTCAATTTATTCACAAAAATCGATGAAAATGTGTAAAAATAGCTTGCGCTAATCGTAGTTTAATCCTATCTACAGTACATAGTAATTTTCTCAAATCATTTTAACATAACAGTTTTAAACTATCCTTAATTTCGAATGAGAACCTACGGAAAAATAAACTATAAGATAACTTACTTAATGAAACCTCATTGATTGAGGCGAAAATTCGTTAATGAATATTATCGTTAGATCAACTCCTTTAAGAATTACAGTAGCAAGTAAAAAATTAACGTTAGTGAACTTAACGGTTAACAGAACTGCAACATAATTTTGTATTGCCATAAAAATAAAGAATGAGCGAATCCTCTTAACCCTGCCACTTGGATATTGTTACAGAGGTCTGCGTTTATTTTGAATTTATAAAAAAAAAAGGAGAGATTAGATAATATATAAACAAGCAAACAATAAAAGTACAGAACTGAACAGCAACATGAAAATGACGAGAATTACCTATCAGAAGTTCACGATTAACAATTTCAGTTATTGTTTCATTAGTAAGATGCTATCACATGTTTTATGTTCTCACCATTAAATTTAAGAGGAACATACATTTAAAAGATGAACATAACATTTTCTTGATTTTAGTAATTACAAAATATTCAGTTAATTATATTCTTAAGAACAAAAAAATGTAATTTTGATTGACTTACTTCGTATATCAATAAGAAAATTAAATAAATTCAAAAGAACATATTTTTTGGTTAAAATGTTATTTTATTTATTTATTTTTTTTTTGTGAAAAATACCTGCAAATACACCAGATTGAAGTTAAACATTTCTGGAAATTGTGATTCCGCTTCAGTGAAATTGGCCAAAACTAAATTATTTTAGTATTAAATGCATGGTGTATGTTGGAAAATAAAATGTTATTCATGACTTATGTTTTTTTGATCTATGGATATGCAATTCCTGCCAAAAAGTAAAATATAACTGGCAATTTATTTGATGTTAGATTCTTTATAAAAACTAAATTATTTCAGTTTTAACAATAAAAAAAAAGAAAAAAAAAATTGATACAGAATTTTATCATTGGGGGTAATTTTTACCTACGTGTCATTTGGGGCCCATTTTTACCAGGACAATTTTTGCCCGGACCATTCTTACCAGGGCCATTTTCACAGAGGCCACTTTTACTGAGGCCATTTTTACCTACATTCGATCCTTCACCTATATTCATTTCCAAGACCTTGTACCGAACCTTTTAAAATAGTTTCTGCTAGAGCATCAACACTTTAGTGTTATTCATCATGGTACAGTAGATCTTAAACGACAATAATGCCGTTGAAGCCCCTATTCTGTAGGTCTAATTTCTAGTGACAAATTCTGCTGATTTGCGTACTGCCTATAATTTCACCATGGTTGAAAGTTAGCCTCGTACTACGTATTGAGATTTGGTCGTTTGATGTTCTTTGTTATTTTATTTGTCTTAAAATCTTACTTGACATAAATTGCAGGGTCTTTGTTTATAATTACGTATTATAATTGCTACTATAAAACAATTTCGAAAGTAATTAAAATCTCAAACAAACGGATTTTTGCACTTGCTGAACCTTAAAAAAATATATAAAACAGTCTTGTTTGGGACCTCATAACTGAAAAAAGCATTTTGGCTAATAGAGCTATCCTGTAGTTTCAATTTTTAATTTGCTTGTTTTGTTATTGTTGTACCCTAGTTCGAATTATTTTCCTTATATGATGATGGAAAGCAATAAATGCAAACAAACAGATAATTAACTTCATAATAACTTAAGCTTAGTTATATCTTCTCTAAACTAGTAATAATAACAAGGGCGTCGGAGGCGGTCCGACTGGTCCGGTTTTGGCCTGACCAATAATTTAGAACTCAATATCGTTTGTAAACCAAATTCTACTTTCTCTGACGCAATCAAACATAACCTGCACATTCAAATTTGGAGGGGGCCGGCTGGGACCTCCCTCGAACTTTTCAGTGGTAGTTCCGATGTGCCCTTTTTCGAGAGTGCAGTCATTACACAGGTTAAAAATGATATATCTAGAAAAATAATGACTAAATCACAATTAGTTTTTAAAATAATATAAAAAAACACAGTGTATTGCAAAAATTATATAAAAATAAATTGTTCAAATTTCTTAACAATTCCATAATTATATGAAATAAGATGCTTATTCTTCAATGAATGAATAAATAAAGTGCAAGAAACACGAACACATTATATAATGCAATATGAATAAAAATGACTATAGGTCTATTATATTTATACAAGTTGACGGATGTTGTGAAATACCTAAAAAAGATTCTAGATTCAAGGACACTTTATTGTCCATTTTAAAATAGGAATTTGTTTTCCCTTTGCAACAGTCTTGGTTAAGAAGGATAAAATTACATTAAAAATCACACGACAAAACAACTTGGCAAATACGTTAAGATATTAACAATTTAAAATAGTAAAGTAGGAAAAAGTCAAAATAAAAATCACTGTTTAAAACTTAAAATTTACTATGTGTATCTAAGGAACAGACCAGCTATTTTAGTAAAGATTAAAACTATAAAAACCTAGCATTTTGCTATAAAATAATGACAGCATGCTAATTAAATAAAACATGTGTTATGTATACACAGGATACATTATGCATATTCCTCCATGAATAAATGAAAATGCAAGAACAGGAACAAAATTATATTACCGTATGTAATACAATATGAATAAAAATGAATGTGCGTCTATTATATTGATACGAGTTGACGGATATTGTGAAATACATAGCCTATAAAACTATGTAGCCTAAATAAATTAACATGTGTTTTGAATACACAGGGACACAGGGTATAATATGCTATGCATTATTTAGTAAACCTATTAAATGTATTTTGAATTAAGCTAGGTGAATACGTTAGATTTTCAAATAACAGACTCCTAGTAATTTTTTATTATTATTATTTAGTAAAGTTTTGGTTTAATAATGGCAGGAGGACCATGTATGTAGGTATTCCTATCATATGAACAGATTTACCAGGTGATAAGTACTCAATAGAGCAATAAGAATCACTGATGCCCGGGGCATCAACTTTGGGTGGAGGGTCAATATTAGAATAAGGTACTGTACGTTTCTACAGGGGTTCTACTGAGGCCCTACAACAGTTCTTATCAGGGTGGTAGGACAAACGCCAGGGAAAATCAGCAATTTTGATTAGATACTTATTAACTGATAGATTAGGCCTACTTCTTAATCAATTCAATTGATCGATTTACACTTTTTTGATTAAAAAATTACTATGACATGGCCTGGCCGCCCAATATACATGCGTACAACCCGTAGCTGAGCTATGGCCCTGGTTCGAGACGAATACGTGTCAATTCTTTTAGAGTATTTTGCAACATACTAGCAGGCCGTATGGTAATACATCGGCTAGTGTAAAACATCATTTTTAAATATATAATTTTTATTGTTAAAGCAATGTTTAACTACTAGTACTTGTACGTACGTTAATATTTATGAAATCCCATGGTGACAAATATAATGGTTAAATGATATATTTAGTACAAGTAGCCTATGAATGATTGATATAATAGAATCATGGACCTATTAATAAGTTAATAGGTCTATGAAAGAATAGTGCGTGTTTGAGCTATAGACAAAAACAAAACTAATGAAAAGAAGTCATGTTAATGCAATGATGATTAAGTATATTTGGCCGGACCAATAAAAATAGCTTCCGACGCCCTGAATAATAATTTATAATTTATTCACTAGCCTTGACGAGGAATACAATCAGTTTCTACCAAATACACCAGTGCAGGTTTGCTCAGACGGAAGTGTAATATATGCAACGTATGCTATATTTCGAAGTTCATGCCACATCAACATCAAGTTATTCCCATACGATAATCAAACCTGCAAACTGCGATTTTCGTCTTGGATTCACAATATTGATGAGCTAGACATGTACCCGCAAGCTCGTTCAGAAGAGCAGGAGGTGCAGTTTCAACCCAACGGAATATGGGAGCTAATTAATGTAAATGCAAATCGAGAAGTGGATAAATACAAGCCAGACTCCAACCCGTTTGTGTACGCCGTCTTTGCCATTGAACTCAAGCGACACTTCGAGTTTCAGTTACTATTTATTTTGATTCCTTACTTCTTCTGCTCTTTTCTCATCTGTTTGATGTTCTTTGTTCCATTTGAAAGCGGTGAGAAACTATCGTACGGAATCACAGCTGTCCTAGGAATGATTGTCTTCCAACAAATTATTGCATTTTCTCTGCCTCCCGTTGGAAATGAATCCTCTATTGCTGGTAATTAAATTTCCATCATTTTCAATACTATGATAAATTGACAATACAACAATTGATGATAATTAGTGGTAGTGATAAAGATGATAGTTATGGGTGCTCAATTGTGATTAATTTAAAAGAATGACGTAGTCAAAAACGCTTTCAACGACATTCTGAAGTGTATGAGTATACACAACATCTGGCATTTTTTATATATTAAAAATCATCTATATTATAAAACAAAGATTCTACAAAAATAATTAAATATTTAAACATCAACCTTATTCACTAAATTTATTTTCAGGAAAGTACTTTACTTCAGTGATATGTATTGGAATCATATCAGTGTTTGTGGAGATTATGGTTAATAACGTATATACTCAAGGAAATGTTTACAAGGCATGCGTATATGTATTCAAGTACCGCAAAGGAGAGAAAAAGGACCGTTCAGGAGAGGAAAATAAATCAGACAGCAACCACGAGACAGTACATGCTAACCAACAACGAGATGACACCAAACACATCAAGGCGTTACAACATTATTGTGCTATTTTTGATTTCTTCTTTGGAATTTTGTGTCTAATATTAATTTTCATATTCATGATCTGGTTTTTAATTGTAAGTTATTAGTAAACAAATCAGAGGATATTCGTAATTTTTGTCACAGGTGGTGAGTATGTGGAAACAAAAGGAAAGGTTCACGCCACAAGATTTGATTGAAATCGTCATTTTTTTTTTCAATAAGGAAATATAGAGTAATATATAGCCTTCTATTTAAATTAAAATCTAGCAACTAACCAGCTCAATTCTATTTGATTCCCTCATCCATTTGTTGTTGCTGTCTGTCTCAGTTAGTCGGTCTGTAATAATAATAATAATAATAATAATAATAATAATAATAATAATAATAATAATAATAATAACAATAATATTATTAATAATAATAATTATTATTTATTATTATTATTTTTATTTATTTATTATTATTTTTATATTTTTTTTCTTTGTCCTGTTTTGTTCTGTGTGGCCTCTGTCCCTTTTTACCTCTTGTTCTTTTTTTTTTCTTTTCAGACTGTCCCATCACACGATTTGTTTTCTTTATCTTCTTGGGTCTTGTCTTCCTTTTACC